CTTGGGCTTCTTCTCTTCCGGATCAGCAGCCGGAAGCTCGAGGAGGGAGAGGCGCCCTTCCTCAGCCTTGGCGCACTTGGTCGCCAAGTTGAACAGCTCTAGAGATGTGCACAGGTCTTCATGGATCGCTAGCTCCTCTTTCATCTTGATGTCACGCACGCCATCGGAGAAGGCTGAGATGATGGCTTCCTCAGTCACCCTGGGGATCTTGAGGCGGGCGTTGTTGAAGCGCTGGATGTACTTTTGCAGGGTCTCTCCTGGCTGTTGCTTGATGCGGCGCAGGTCACTCATGGCCGGGGGCCGGTCGCGAGTGCCTTGGAAGTTGGCGATGAAGCGAGTGCGCATCTCATCCCAAGAGGAGATCATGCTGGGAGGCAGGTTTAGGAGCCAGGTGCGGGCGCCATCCTTGAGCGCCATGGGAAACCAGTTCGCCATGACCTTTTCATCCCTGTTGGCCGCCTCGATGCCCAGCTCGTAGAGCTGGAGGAACTCCGCGGGGTCGGCAGTACCGTCGTAGCGAGGAGGCAGATCTGGCTTGAACTTGCCCGGCCAGGCCACGCTGCGCAGCTTGGCAGTGAAGGCGCGACAGCCTGCAGTGGCTACAGGGGGCCTTTTGTGACGAAGGGCTTGATCTTAGAGGTCCCCGCGCGCTACCGCCAGCAGCAGCGCGGGGTCTTGGCGCGCTGGAGCAGGAACGCGGTCATGGCATGCTGGCACTGGGAGCACGCGAGCGACTTCTTGAGGGCGAGGGACCTCTTGGCAGCTCCTTTCTTGCTGCGCGGGCGCTGGACGCGGTGGGTCTCGTCCAGGGGTAGGGGTGATACGTCTCCAACGTATCTATAATTTTTGATTGCTCCATGCTACTTTATCTACTGTTTTGGACTATATTGGGCTTTATTTTCCACTTTTATATTATTTTTGGGACTAACCTATTAACCGGAGGCCCAGCCCAGAATTGTTGTTTTTTGCCTATTTCAGTATTTCGAAGAAACGGAATATCAAACGGAGTCCAAACGGAATGAAACCTTTGGGAACGTGATTTTCTCATCAGATAAGATCCAAGAGACTTGGACCCTCCGTCAAGAAAGCCACGAGGCGGTCACGAGGGTGGAGGGCGCGCCCTCCCCCCCTGGCGCACCCCCTGCCTCGTGGGCCCCTCGGAGCTCCACCGACGTACTCCTTCCTCCTATATATACCTATGTATCCCCAATAGATGAGATACGGAGCCAAAAACCTAATTCCACCGCCGCAACTTCCTGTATCCATGAGATCCCATCTTGGGGCCTGTTCCGGAGCTCCGCCGGAGAGGGCATCCACCACGGAGGGCTTCTACATCAACACCATAGCCCCTCCGATGAAGTGTGAGTAGTTTACTTCAGACCTTCGGGTCCATAGCTAGTAGCTAGATGGCTTCTTCTCTCTTTTTGGATCTCAATACAATGTTCTCCCCCTCTCTCGTGGAGATCTATTCGATGTAATCTTCTTTTTGCGGTGTGTTTGTTGAGACCGATGAATTGTGGGTTTATGATCCAGTATTATCTATGGAAAATATTTGATTCTTCTCTAAATTCTTTTATGTATGATTGAGTTATCTTTGCAAGTCTCTTCGAATTATCCATTTGGTTTGGCCAACTAGATTGGTAGTTCTTGCAATGGGAGAAGTGCATGGCTTTGGGTTCAATCTTGCGGTGTCCTTACTCAGTGATAGAAGGAGTTGCAAGGCACATATTGTATTGTTGCCATCGAGGATAACAAGATGGTTTTTTTTATCATATTGCATGAATTTATCCCTCTACATCATGTCATCTTGCTTAAGGCGTTACTCTGTTTTTAACTTAATACTCTAGATGCATGCTGGATAGCGGTCGATGAGTGGAGTAATAGTATTAGATGCAGAATCGTTTCGATCTACTTGTCACGGACGTGATGCCTATATACATGATCATTGCCTAGATATACTCATAACTATGCTCAATTCTGTCAATTGCTCAACAGTAATTTGTTCACCCACCGTAGAATACTTATGCTCTTGAGAGAAGCCACTAGTGAAACCTATGGCCCCGGGTCTATTCTCATCATATCAATCTCCATTACTTTATTTTACTTGTTTTGCTTTTACTTTTTACTTTGCATCTTTATACCAAAAATACCAAAAATATTATCTCTATCAGATCTCACTCTCGTAAGTGACCGTGAAGGGATTGACAACCCCTAAGCATTGGTTGCGAGTTGCTACCGTTTTGTGCAGGTACGAGGGACTTGCGCGTGACCTCCTACTGGATTGATACATTGGTTCTCAAAAACTGAGGGAAATACTTACGCTATTGTGCTGCATCACCCCCTCCTCTTCGGGGAAAACCAACGCTAGCTCGAGACGTAGCAAGGGGCCGCGCGCCTTGGGGCCAGGGCGCCTTCTTGAGGAGGAGGCGGCGGAGGTGCCTCCGGAGCTGCTTTGCCCACGCAGGGCGGAGGGCCATGCAGCGAGAGGGACGACGCAGGGGAGCCCCCTGCGCCGCTGACGAGCTCGGTGATGCGAGCGAGCCACTCGTCGTAGAGGTCGTCGACAAGGCGATAGTGCAGGAGCTACGTGCCAGGAGAAACGCGGCGTGCGCGTCCGCGGGAGCGCGACGAGCGTGCGACGACGAGCCTGCCGGAGTCAGTGACGGGTGGCGGTGCGGCCTTCCCGCCGCACCAAGGGATGCAGCGACGACGCCTGCTGCTCGTTCCCCGCCGGGCCGGTGGCGGCGTGGGCGGCAGGCGACGGGGAACGACGGGGAGGCCCGCCGACGGGGGCCGTCTGGGCGACATGGGCCGCGAGAGCAGCCCGACGCTCGGCGCGAGCTCGGCGAGCGTCAGACATGGGCGCGACGGACGACGAACGCGAGGCGGTGGAAGAAGGATTCCGGTGCACCCCTACCTGGCGCGCCAAATGTTGGATTTCGGGTTCCGGCAGACCCTTGAGGTTCGAACTCTGGGATGCGCACGAAGATCTTTCCCCTACCAACTCACGTCTCGAGGCCTCGTAAGGAATCTAGGCTAGAAAGAAGAACACACAAGGGACACGAGGTTTATACTGGTTCAGGCCACCATTGTGGTGTAATACCCTACTCCAGTGTGTGGTGTGGTGGATTGCCTCAGGGGCTGATGAACAATACAAAGGAAGAACAGCCTCGCGAGAGGTGTTCTTGAGCTGGTGCGATGAACTGCTTGGGTGAGTTCAGTCGCCTCTCTCTCTCTCTCTAGCCTACCCAAAATCTCTATCCTTACTCTGTGGTGGCTAGCTCTATTTATAGAGGGAGGCCCTGGGCCTCTTCCCAAATAATGAGCGGGAAGGGCGCCAACAATTGGTCATTTTGAAGGGGAACATCTAGTACACTTATCCTGACTAAAGTTGGTCTTCGACTGCCAAAGACTCTGACGGTGACGTCGTCCTGGGCTCCACGATGACCTCCATCCTGCCGTTTCGCTGGTCTTGGTCTTGTTGCACCGAAACGGTAGCCTTTGCCTGATGCCTTGGCTTGTGCTTGCCCCCTTTGCACCAAAGGGGAAACAAGGACACTGCGCAGGCCGGCGCCCGCCTAGCGCCCGCCTGGTCTCGATCGTCATGGCTTGCGTCACGGGCTCCTCGCGAGGTACCCTGCCTTGATCTCTCCGCCTCCTCGCGAGCCCGCCTGATGAGGCTGCTCCTGAGGAAGCTTTCTGTCGTCCGCCCCGCGAGGCTTGGCCCCTCGTGAGGGTCTTGAGCTTGAGCTGATGAAGCTGGGCTGCACTGGGCCTCCGCTTGAGCCACGCCGCAGGTCGCAGGCAGGCAAGTCTGGGGACCCCCGTTCCCAGAACGCCGACAGTTACGGAGGAACTTTGACACGATCGCCATCCTGATACACTGGAGGATATGGAAGGAGAGAAACGCGAGAATTTTTTATAGTGTCACCAGCACCGTACACAGGGTACTTGAGTTGATTAAGGAAGACATTAGAATGTGGCGGGCTGCAGGTTGCATCTGCAGCCTGCCGGCGAACGCCTAATTTTTGTGTTGGGTCTCAGCTGTAGTCCGCCTAGACTGCTTCCCGGCTGTACTATGTGCTTTTCTTCCTATCTAATATAATTCGGCCACTGGCCCTTCGAATAAAAGAATAGATGATGCATCAACAACTAGCTCAAAAGTGAGGGGAGACATGGAATCTAAAAATAGTCTCCAATCGTGTTTGTTAACTCTGACCTCTGCATGCCTACCTTTAAAAATGTGCATCACCCAATCAACCCAAACAGGTGGGAACCCTTCCATCTATGGCATCTGATGTACACAGAGCCATTTTAATCTACCATATGATTTCCAATGTCTGTTTTAACAATCACATCATTCTGCTTTTGTTGAAAAATTAAAACATTCTGAAGACATATGGTCTAAATTGTTTGGACTTGCTTGGCATCTTTACACTTAAGGGATCAGAGCCACTAAACTATAGTTAGGTCTGGTAATATCTGGCTTACCATGAAAGAAATAAGTCTACTAAAGGGACAGTAACTGGTAATCTAGCGGTGCAGCTGAGGCACTGTTGACGTGGCCATCTCCGCAGAGGTCGTTGCCCCCTCAACCACCTGCTCCAATGAGTTGCCCGCCTCTGACGCCGGCGTGTTCTCCAGAGAAGAAGCGGCATTCATCTCCGAGTCGACACGCAGGCTGAACGGACTCGCCCCGCCGTTCCTCACGCTCTCGTCGTTCCATGTGGGCGTCCGGTTCGCGCAGTCGCAGGCGTTGTTCATCGCGAACTCGTCGTGCCGCGTCCTGAAGGTGGGGGACCGGAGGTCCCTCGTGTCATAGTGCTGCAGCCACGCACGCAGCTTCCACAGCGGCACGCTCCCGGACCCGGAGCCGGCGGTGGCCTCGGCTGCCCGGAGCCCGCTGCGCTCGCGGATGGCGAAGGTGGCGAGGTAGACGAGCAGCGTGAGGCCGGAGGCCAGGCCGGTTAAGAGGAATATCCCCCCAAAGCTCTTGAATCTTAGGCCGGACGACGGGCGACCTCGGCGCTGCTCTGTTGCAGGCACGCATCCGGCTCCCCGAACCACGCCTTCTCGATCTTGGACATCTTCTCTCCTTCCGCCAGCGTCAGTATGCCCCGCGACACGTCCCCCGTCATTGGAGAATCCTTCGGGAACACCTGCGAAACACAAGTAGGAGTGCTAATTAGTCAAGTACGTACGTACGTACAAACAAGCAGAGTATAATCCGAGTTCCTGACGAACCCAACATCGTATGTGTAGCGGCGAGGCGCTGAGCTTACAAATGATAGGCCGACAGTCTTGTAGATGGGCCCCACCATCATGTAGTCCTTGCAGTATTCCGACAGGAAGAGCTTCAGGTACGGGATCTCGTCGAACACCGCGGCGACCCCGCCGTTCGCCGAGCCTCTGGATAGCGCGTCTGCGTACCCCTTGGACGAATTGTACTTCCTCATCCTGCTATGGTCGAAGCCCATTTTCTGGAGCGAGGATTCGATGAAGCTGCCCTCCTGGTACCCGATGTAGTGGCCGTTTCTCTGGAGCTCCCTCACGTCGGTCACCGTCGGCAGGAGCTTCTGGACGGTCAGCATCGACGTCAGGCTCGCCGTGTAGCTCGACGTCAGGATCAAGACGACGAAGACCCACGTGATGACGATGAACCTCGACAGATTGCTCTGCAGCTTCTCCCCTGAAAATTAACAAGCTCTCTTATGCTTAATTACACAATCACGCCCATGCAATTTATTAGTAGTAAAATTAGTGAGAAGAGTGCCTACTGTGTGAGAACGTGAGGGTCGAGAAGGCGAAGTAGAAGATGAGGCCGAACTGCTGGCAGGGCGTGCCTCGGAACTCGGGGTTGATCCGGTGCTCGATCACCCACACGACAAAGCCGGTGAAGCAGAAGAAGCCGAGGCTGGCGAGCCAGAGGCCTGTGCTTAGCGGCCGCACGAAGATCCACATGTTTGAGCCCGTGTCCTCCTGCGCCGCCACCACCATCGACCACCCCGACTCCGTGAATGGCATCGTGAAGTCCACTTCGGCCATCCTGCTCGCGGTCACCGTCACGTCTCCCACGACCAGGTCGAATTTCTGCATGTGCAACCATCACTACAACGTACGTACATCTTCTAAAATGGGAACGTACGCACCGATAGTATGGTCGTTATGGTACTAACCTGATCGTGTACCAGGTCCACCAGTTTGTCATAAGAATCCAAGCTAACGTTCTGTGGCACGTACCGGTAGCTCACGGGATAGGGGAGATTCTTCATGACCTCATCGAACACGTCGATGCAATAGCCTGTGATCTTCTCCTCTCCGGTTGTGGAATTCTGGGAGACGTCCACGAACTGCTCGAACCCGTTCTTCGCCGGCACGGCCACCAGGAGCATCCGCCCATTTGGTGACACGGTCCAGCCTTTCGGAGCGGACCGTGGCTCGCCTGGCCACAGGATTTGTCTCAGCGCCTTGGCGCTGTTGGGGTTCAGATCTTGCGTGATCCCGAACTCCGGCGTCCAGAAGCCGACCGTCCTGGCTCCTCTGCCGATGATGTTCACCACCTCATACGCCGGCAGCTGCAGCTGCCCGTCTACCAGCTTGAACTTGCCGGCTATACCCTCAAACGTCGTGGCGAGCACCGCCTTGAGAAGTGATGTTCCGGTGGCCGACACGCCGAGCCGGTCCAAGTCCGTCAGCGCCGTGGTCCCTCCAGGCGTCTGGAACGCCGGACTGGGGACGCGGGCCGTCTCGACGGCCGCAGCGATTGCCCATGCCGTGTCGTACGACCATAGCCTCATCAAGGTTGAGTCGCCGACACCCCCATCTGCCGGATTCTCCCGCCGGGACCTCGCCACAAGCCGTGCCGAGAAGTTCTTGGCGGCATCCGTCAGCTGCACGTAAGGCTGGAGGCTGACGACGCCCTGCATCGCGTCCACGTCCTCGGGGCTGAGCCTGTCCATGAAGCTGCCGACGCCGTCCGTGGCGACCCAGACGTACTCCTGGGACATCATGCCAGCCTTCTTCGCGCGGCGGAAGAGCCGCGCGGCGAGAGGATACAGCATGTGCACCACGAACACGCGCGTCGGCATCGCCATGAAGTGGTACAACACCGCGTCTAGTCGGGCGTCGTCCGCGTCGCTGGGCACGGCCGTGCGGACCATGATCTTGGCGCCGACGCCCTGGAGCGCGTCGGAGAGCGCCGGGAGGATGCCGGTCCCGTAGGCCGTGTCCTCGTACACGACGACCGCCGCGCGCCAGCTGAAGGCGCCGAGGACGGCCGCGACGGGCGCCGTTTGGAAGGAGTCGTTGGCCGCCGTGCGCACGAAGAAGGGCGTCTGCACGGGGGTCAACGCGGGGGAGGTGGCGGAGTAGGAGATGACCGGGACGCCGGCGTGGTCGCCGATGCGGGCCACGAACTCGGCCTCGGCAGAGGTCGGAGGCCCGATGATCGCCTGCGCCTGCGCGTTCTTGATCAGGTCCACCGCTGCATCACCAACAGCAAAGTCAGCGACACGTACCACGCTCAGGAAATAGAAAATCCGACGGTGCACAACTAACATCGGTTAGCCGTAGTTGACCTAAATTACGTAGACCGTAAAGATGCCGGACGGTGAAGCGAGCGGTGGTGATTGGAGCTTACCAGCAGAAGCCGCGCGAGGAGGGTCCCCCGCGGAGTCCCTGAAATGGAGCGCCACCCTCGTGGCCGAGCTGGGGTGCGCGGCGTAGTAGTCCTCCACCGCCATCTGGATGCCCGTCCGCCGCCTGCGCCCGACCGGCGTCGTCAAATCCAGGATAACGCCGACGTGGGCCCGCGCTGGCGGTGCGTTCTGCGCGGTGGCCACCATGCTCACCTCGTACGAAACCAGCGCAGCTGACAGGAGAACGAAGGAGAAGAAGGAGGGAGACCGCACCAGGCAATTTGCCATCATCTCTCACTGCATATATTAGCCCGATAACTACCACAGCTTCTACAAGATGGCTGCTGCGGCTCTGCGCTATAATGCTCTCTAGGTCTCGTGTCTCTATATATGCAGCATGGCGACTTGGCGAGATTGCGTGTGGACTTTATTGACTTTGCGGCGTTAGCTGGTGTATGGCAAGTAGTGACGTGGCAGCGCAGGAACCGGTCCAAAGTCGCGGGACCAAAGTGGGACGGGAAGACCGGGAGACCAAAGACATGCACTGAAGCTATGTGTCGACTAGTAATTCGAAAGCTGGATTATTTTCACGGAATGGCGTCCGATTGTAAAAAATATTACATCGAGATCCTTGTATCACCTAACGGACAACTGCTGCCATCAGGATGAGCTGATGACTATGTCGTTATCGCGGCGTACTAACCAGAGTCGTCATGACCTTGTCGATGACAATCGGGAAATCTTTGTTCCCGTGCCCATAGAGGCTAGCATCCCGGATCCACGGTAGCTATCTTTGAACCCCAAATCAATCTGAAGCACTTGACAACAGAACTTACAGACGTGCACACATGACAAGAAATCCTAACCTCGCCACCCTGAGGAGACAATAGGAATATATACGAAGCTCAAAAGACCATCTCGACAATGAAGCACCGTCAGGCGCCTCTGCGAGGACCACACTAACCTGCACATGGTTCTGAACAGTACGAAGCCCCACCTGAACGAGGGTGAGCCCAAGAAATTTTATTACATGCCGAAGGCGCATTCGTCGGTCAGAGACAAATCTTTATGTATTAATCAAACCTTAGGGTTACAATCCGTGCTATAGAATATGCGACACACTAAAGCCATTGATGGGCTGTAAAATAGATGAACCGATCGTTTTGAACTGTTGGTTCCTTTGATCGAACTAACAATATACTCTTATTCTCGCGAATCGTCGTGAAAAGCTAGAGAACCAGGCATGCGGTGATGGCGGATTAGTAGATTTTGGATCATACAACTGATGACAGCTAAATAGGCAAAAGGCTTTTCAGAGCAGTGTTTTTTTTCAAACATTACATGTCTTTTCTTCACTAAAATTTACGCGCATTTAGAAGACACGTTCATGTTCATTGTAAAGATTAAAGCATTGTTTTATCTTCTACTTCCGTTCTTTTATTCTATTGTTCACGCCGGAGCATATAAATCTGAGCTCCAGGTCACCCTTTGCAGTTTACCCTTTTCAAAGTTACTTTGTTATAAAACAGGGATTAATTTTGGGTAAGTTGTTCCCCACAACTTGTTCACGAGACATTGGATCATTTTGTTTTTTGTATTACTAGTTTCACGAACATGAAAATGTGAGCCTGGTCTAGCTCCTTCCCTCGAAAGAAAGTGATTAGGAGGGTACTTGGATCCAAGGGACTATTTTTAGTCTGACTAAAAATAGTCTCTTTTAGAGGCTAAAGTTCCAAGCACCCATGACTAAAGAGAGGCTAGGACTAGTCTTGAGGCTAAAATGTTTTAGTCACAGAAAACCTACTAAAATATATATTAGCCCTCTCTCTCCTCATTTAATTGCTCTCCTTTAACACATGCGAGTTCTGGATTGGAGGGTTTGGAGGATAATAAATGCTCAATAACTTGATTTTAGTCTCTTTAGTATTTGGATCCAAGCATGGGTGAAGCTAGCAAGTTTTAGTCCCACTACTTTTAGTCATGGGACTAAAACGTATCCAAGCACCCTCTGGAACTATGGAAGAGATTGGCAGGAAATGTGTACAGTGACTTTACAACTAATTGTGCGCACATATAGTCACATAGTTGGTCCCAAGAGTATATGAACATTGGCCAGTTTTACATTAACAAAATTTCACAATCACAAATCGAGTCGAGAGAGTGATAGTGTCTGGAGGCTACCCACTGAGGCCGTGATGCATTGCCGGTGTGCACTGGATCTAGGTCTATGTGGGTTGAGTTTGTGTTTCTCGGTTTATAGCCCTATTTATCAGGTAAACCGAACAATTCCTAATATTTTGGTACATATGTTGGCGGTTTCTTGATAGAAAGAAAAACAAGACACTTGAAGAAAGGTTGTGTGTTACACTTATGAATCTAATATTTTTTTGTTAACATTCGCATGATTAGGTAGGGTTTTTCCATGCAGTGCTATGAGGTGGTGTGACAAACACGGACAACATCACTTGGTTGCGTACTTGACCTAAAGACGTTATTTGTGTTTCCAAAAAGTCAAAACCGGGTGGGGAGTATCTCTCATATACCAAGTGGGTGAATATTCTACACCTTTTGTTAAGCAGAGACAAATATATTATGATGCCTTCTTAAACTCTAAGGATCTGTTCGCTTTGCTGGCTGCAAGAGTATACCTAACCTCTCGGAGGTGTAGGATTTTAACTAACATGGATATATGTTTTTTTTTCTGCGGGATGATATATGGTTTACACAATAGATCAAAGTAAGATTTGTGAGAGACTTCTTGATAGTTAGGCTGACACAGCAGCTGAAAAGACAACGAGCAATTATCTTAGTAATGTGGGAAAATTTACCTTATTATATTTCTTAATATATTTATAGGGTACCACTATTATTAGCTAGAGGCTGAGTTGACAATTTAGCATAAATAAACTGAACGACCACTATTGCATAACTGATTCAGCAAGAAGCAATACATGCATTTTATAAAGGGCAAAAGAACTGAAGAAGTTTCCGTGAACGTGCAGCATACTTTCGGATGTCAAACTTTGTCCCGTAATTGCCGATTAAATCTACTCCATTGGCAGTGTTATAAAGTACTCCCTATGTCCCAAAATTATTGTCATGGTTTGAACTAAAACCACGACAATAATTTTGTAACAGAGAAAGTAATTATTTATTGTTCGCCGTTACTTGTCACCCATGCACAAATAAAGTTTCCAGATCACACATGAGCTTTACGCGTTATTCCCTCGAGAAGTAGAAGCAACAAAAGTTCTTTTTAAGAATACAAATAACACCTACACTCCACTGCACCGATGATTGTGCACTATAAATTCGATGTGACTAATACATTGACATTGGCACTACTGGCAAAAACGAATATAGTCATATCACAGTGTGTCAATGTCAAAGCTACTCTCATGTCAAAGCATATATGGGGGCTTCCAAATGGAAAGTCAAAATGAGGAGACAATAATATTGTTTTCATTGTTGCCCATGCATGCAAGATGTTGTAAGTGCCCAGGAAGTTCAGGCATATACTCCCTCCTTTCCGGTTTATAGGGCTCAAATCTGAAATCTCATCAATCGAGGCATATGGTGAGTGGAGGAATGTATTTTGTACTTTACAAAACTACTCCCTCCATTTCAAAATATAGTGCGCCCTTGGTTTTCGTGCTTCAACTTTGACCATAAATTTAATCAATGAGACTGTCTGCGGCAGAATAAAAAATTATATTAGTGAATTCGTATTCGAAAGAAGTTTTCAGTTATATAATTTTTGCTCCCGCCGCAGTCGGTCTCGTTGGCTAAATTTATAGTCAAAGTTGAACCTCGGGAAGCGCGGGTGCACTATATTTTGGAATGGAGGGAGTATTCAAATTAAACTAATGCATTAATTTGAATTAATTACAGTGCATACATGCATTTGTGTGTTTCTTTTTAATTCTTGCATGCAAAGATTTAATGCTCATTGGAATCTTAAAATGAGATGGAGATGAGCCCTTTAAATTAAAAAAAATGAAAAATATGAGACAAGCCTTATAAACCAAAAAGGAGGGAGTAGTAATAAACATTTTCCAATAAATAAATAAATAAATAACGAAGGTGCTCTCGTGCCATTGAATGTTCTCTGGGCCGATCCAACCCAAGTTGCCTAACAACTAACAACTAGTAGAACGCCCATGCGTTGCTACGGGCTAGAATGCATATAAATGAATCGACAAATAATTAAAGTCCTCTTCAAAGTCAAACTCATTTCTCCCTGATATGTCCGGGCATGTTCAGACATCAAACGGGTGTCCAGCGGGCTCTCCAAAATCCAACTGTTTGGACAGTCCGGGCTCCCCCAAATCCAATGTGGGGAGAAATGTGGTTGTCCGGAGTATCTGCCATGTTATCTCCAACACACGGTCCCACAAAACCCCCATCCCACGATGCACCCTTCCCTTTTCCTGCCAGACCCTCCCCTTCCCGCCTGGATTTCCACCGTAGCGGGGCATTTCTCGCTGGAGACCTTTTCTTTAAAACCAAATGACGCCTACCTCACTTTTGCCATGGCACCCTCTCTCCTTCACACCTTACTTCCGACGGACTTCCAAGAGGAGTCCCAGGCAACCTCCCTGCTCTCCCCTGATTCCCTTCCCCCTGTTCATGTTGATCAGCCGCCAGTATCAAAGGGGATGAGGCGTGCACTGCACGTGTGAAAGGATCGATATGGTTGACTAGAGGGGGGGGGTGAATAGGCAACTAACAATTTTTAAGCTTTTCTTTACCAATTTAAACTTTGCAAAAAATAGGTTGCCTAGATATGCAACTAGGTGAGCAACCTATATGATGCAAATACAACTAGCACATAAGCAAGCAAAGGAAACAAGACAAGTAGGCTTGCAAGAGTAAAGGCACGAAGTAACCAAGAGTGGAGCCGGTGGAGACGAGGATGTGTTACCGAAGTTCCTTCCTTTTAAGGGGAAGTACGTCTCCGTTAGAGCGGTGTGGAGGCACAATGCTCCCCAAGAAGCCACTAGGGCCACCGTATTCTCCTCACGCCCTCACACAATGCGAGATGCCGTGATTCCACTATTGGTGCCCTTGAAGGCGGCGTCCGAACCTTTACAAACAAGTTTGGGGCTATCTCCACAACAATTGAAGGCTCCCAACAACACCACGAAGCTTCACCACAATGGAGTATGGCTTCGAGGCGACCACAATCGTCTAGGGTGCTCAAACACCCAAGAGTAACAAGATCCACTAGGGATAAGAGAGGGAATCAAATTTCTCTTGGTGGAAGTGTAGATCGGGGCCTTCTCAACCAA